AAAATCAGATATTAGAGTACGATTCCCCAAGCAGAGATGAAGAATCGGATGAGTCACTTCCGGACGACGAGAAAACATGTGATGACGGTGACATTCCTTCTTTGGAACGATAGGCTCATTTTCTCCGCGGAAGATTTTCACCGCTTTGGAAGATGTATTCGCTTCAACAACAGAATTGTGTTCAGTTAGTTTTTCAGTATTTTCCTTGTTATAGAACTAAACACTTCAAACAGTTTGGTTTCTACTGAGTTAATTTTCTTTATTCGAAATATTATTACGCACATGGCTCGGCGTAAAATCTAATACGACCATTGCGAAAACAAATTAGTTCAATCGGTTTGCTGAAAGTACAATGTTTTTAAGACTTATTTTAATGTTCATAATTTTTTATTTCTAAAATGCTTTTATAAAAATTGGTCGCTCAAGCAGTCAAGAGATAAAAGCCAAGGAATTATTCCAGACTTAAGGTAAGCTAACACTTTATTCAAAATGCCTCGCCGATACAAAAACTTATCAAACTTGTCTAATAATGTTAACAAACTGGAATAAAATGATGAAGAGGGAAACCCCTTTAAAAGACGAAAAAGGAACAAATGGACATGAAAACTAACAAAAGCGCCTGCATTACACAAGGTTTAATGCTAGCGGCTGTATTAAAGCCAACGGTTGGATTAATGCCAGCGTGTCCATTGATCTCTTCCACGCCATAGCACTGATCATTTCCGGTCGCCCCAGGGTCCCTATTGTTTGCGCAGAAAGGATTGTAGTCAGCAAAGCCCAAGTCCAACACTTCCTGGTCAGCAGAGGAAAAGGTGCAGTCAGAATCTACCAAATTCTTCACACACTTTTTCCGCTCGGCTTCTTCCCTGAATAATGACAGTTAACAAAATCATTTTAAGTATACCTGTTTCCGTCGCTGTGGAATTTCGATCTGTTTCGATTTACAAAGCCGAGCCAACTCTGATCTGTAAGACTCGGTCACCCTCTGAACGCGACTAGATCAGTGACGTTTACCTACGCACGCATGCGTTTACACAGTTTACTGGGTCTACGCAAAGTACCTTCTTGACTTGTCCACAATTTTTTCGGATTTTAAATACATTTTTTCTTACAGAGCTTTAAAAGAAATATGTGGCTTTGAATATCAGTCAAAGTTAACGCTACATAAAGCCAAGGCTTTTTTAACACACCCGGATAATAGAAAGAACTGAATATAATGTTTCGATTCTTGTCTTAACAAAAATTTCTACAGTTTTACGCGTGTTCCCAAATTTAATGTTATTTCTCAACTCTTTCAGAGGGGAACATTCTCGAGACGAAAGTGTGAAATTTTCTATTTTCCACAACCTAATAGCGTCCTAATCAATCATCTCCGTTAATTTATCGATGTTTAACAATCAAGTGCAAATACATTCTAAGGAAACCCACGGCATAACGAAATCTGTTTGTTTTAAATCACAAAGAAGCATGGTTGATAATGTTGACGTCATTTATGCGTTTCCATCATTAGTAACAACCAATCAAAATGCTTGTATGATTCAGCTTATTGTATAAAAACAAGTTATCAACACAAACTCACGCGCAAAGAGAGGAATTCGATTTGTCCACGACAAATATTTGCCGGAAGGTTCTCCCACAGGCGTTCGCTTTAGTGACGAAAGAGCTGGAACAAGGCAATGATGCCGCTGATGAAGACGGTATTAGAGCGGGGCCTTCAGAGCATTCTGTGCTGCGAAAATTCTGGTCTACAATTCTTCTGATGGTGCTGTGTGTCAGTGAGTCAGCACAATACTTCAACACCTTCACCACACAGTCTTTCATTTGGTTGAACTTAGTACTGGAATAAGAACAAGGTCGCCAATGAGTTAAAGCTATTTTTGAATTAAGAGTCCATTGTAATCCATGAACAAAACATGCAACCTGACAGATACCGCAATACTGCGTTAGAGTGGAATAAGTCGCCGTTCAAAACGCCTCAAAATTTAGAGCTCATTAAGTGAACTTACAAACAGTCTCCTCTGGGGTCCTTTTGGAGTCCTTTATAGAAAAACGTGGTGCATTTTCGAGCAGCGCAAAAGTACTCCATGAAAGTACATCGGTCAACGTTAGGGAGTGCCTCATGGCTTCCAACGAGAAACGCTGTAAAAGCAATAATTGACGGAAATCAATAAATAAGTGAGCAGTTTTTTATGATAGGAATTTTTATGAATGTAAAGTAAGTAATTAGGAAGGAATGTAACACTCTAGATTGTTATCACACAAATATTTTTTAATTAGCCAGAGGCATTAAAGGGTAAAGGGGTTGGGGGGCTCATCGGGGAGTAGTAATTTTTTACGTAATTCCCCGACAAAAAAAGTTTATGGCACTGTCCCCCCCATTGAGCAAGCATGTAGACGTGGTAAAGGATATTGCGTCTACAGAACATTGTGTTCTACAGGATACGTGTTTGGCTTGATGTACGGTAAAAATCCTACGTATTTTTTCATTCCTTCGTCGCTCTCCAAAACGCTTTTGCTACTTCTGAGACGCAATACCACTTAGTGATACATGTTACTGATCACGCAAATGGTTAAGGTACAGGATATTGGCCAACGGACTCTACCTCATGCGGATTGATAACTTTCATGTCCGTGATATAAGCCCAGGAATATCAGAAACCATGTAGTTCAGGCTCCAGTCTTCTCACTTGATTCGAGCAGCGATCAAAGCACGCATAACGAGTACTTCTCTCAACTTGTGTCGGCAAGTTTGAAGAAAGAAAGAGCACTTTTGACCAATTTCAGAAAGGTGTCTAACGGATGTATTTTAATCAATTATGGCGAACCTCTGATTAAACACATATCAAAATTGAAATACTTTCCAAACCCCTCTAGGAATAAAAACGATATCTTGCTGCATGCAGTGTGTTACGAAGAGTGAGCTTGTCAACTTTTGAAGTTTTCCATGTCGCAAGGGGTCAAAAAAGGGCCTTTTGAAGCTTTGATTATTGAGAGCTTTCAAAAAATAATATATTTTAATGTATTTCCAAAAATCAATGTGGTTTTATTCATATACTATCAAAGGTAGTGTAATGGGTAAAGTTTGAGGCAAAACTTTTCTCCGACTAAAAGTCAATACCAAATCTTATTAGCAGACGATCTAGTAGGTTTTTTAGGGTTGTTAAAATGGTTCTCATAAACCTGTGAAATATACTTTAGCATCTTTTGTACTATTACCCTCTCATTTTTTGGTTTCCATTTGGAGTTACAGGGCTAGTACACTTTAGTTAATACAATTTGTTTAGTTATTTATGTGTATCTTTTGTTTTCTTTTGTTCCTTATCAACTGCTACAAACTAAATAGTAATCTTTTTTATTGCCTGGGCAAATGAGAATCACCCTAAAACATGAAAATTATCCTAGCGCTTTCATTACATATATAAGACGTGAGGTGTAAGATCATTTTCACAGCTGATCCCCTGAGTGTTACTGTAAATCAAAGAGCTCATTGCACCTACACATTGCTGTCCTGCATTCTGTCCAAAATCTAACTCGTAACCCTGACATTATGGAGTTGCTATTGTTTTGTTAGGGTCAACACATATCGGAGGACCAGGATTTTGTATCTATTTAATTTATAATTTCAATAATTTGCTACACGAGCTTCACTCTCGCAAGAGCACATCAGTTTGTTATAAGAAAACAATGTTAAATATCGACTGGCACGATATTCTATTTTTCTTATACCTTGACGAATTCTTTCATGACAATTAACTTAAACGTCGTTTTATTAAATAGTTTTTGTTTTGTTTTGTTTTTTTTAACGTTTACATAACAGTACAATGTAGATGACATGGCTATACATGAAAGAATATGTGCATTAACAAATTCTCTAACCTTTCTACTGTAGTTCCTTTAAATTTTCAAACCTCGTATTGGTATTCTGCTTGATTCACGATCACGTCTACGTACACGATGAGATTTGCGTTTATGCTCCTCTCGATTAACATTGGATAGCTCAGTTGATATAGCATATTTTGTGATGAAGTTCGCTCAAAATCTTTGCTCATATAGAGATCTCCTATAAGGTTCGCGGACCGTTCCGTTCCGAAAACGCTCGACATCTTGTTGCGTGGATCTACCGCAAACGCGGTGTGCAAATTTTGTATGCGTTTTGAGCGTATGATACACAGTATCTGTGCTGATTTTGCACGCAGAAAACTTCTCTTCCTCCACCATTACAACATACCATGTGCTCATCAGTCAAAACGTCAAGCATGCGTCAGAACGTCGCTCATACGTGTTAAGGACTTGACTACGATTTGCAACTCAACGAGAAACCAAGCCGGAATTTTAACTCGAGAGTTTCCCTTGGAAAGCCCGAGTTAAAGATGTATTCAGCAAGAAGTTATTTCCTCATCACTGACAGTCTTTTTGAGGAGTTTTTAATTTGCATTGTATCTTCAGTTTTGTTCTAATGCTGAGATAAACAAATTGTAACTGAAACTTCTTTGTGTCTTCTTAACTTATTCACATGCGCACAGCGCAGTGAATGAGTTGTTGTGGAGGGCCGGATTTGTGGACAATTAATTGCGTCGACGGAAATCAAATTGGAATTAAATTTGCGTAGGCGGTAATCAAATTCCGTCTAGCTCGCAATGTATGCTGGATCCACGTTCTTTCATCGCAGCCATTTCTTTACAGCCTTTTGGGTGAGTAATGAGCAAACAGTGCAGGTGAATAACAAATCCAGGAAATTAAGATTCCAAACTCTCCTTTTAGTAAAACAAATCTCATCATTTGAGATTTTCATGGAGGACAAAAAAAAATAAGTCAGTGATGATAAACTAGTAAATATACTTTTTCATTCTCACTGTCGCTGTTGCTAAAATTTAATAACGCCATTTAGGCAAAGAAGTTTGCGGCTTTTCTGATCCTCACAGGACTTTTCTATTCCTCGGAATGTTATTGTCGTTGATAGCAAGTTATTGTTGCTGTCGTTAATCACAAGTTATTCTTGCGGTCAAAGAGGACAAAGAAATTAAGACAATGAAGGTAAAGAACTAAATATAATTTGTCATCCTCACTGTTGCTTTTGCTATAATTTAATGATGCCACTTAAGGCAAAGAAATATGTGGGTTTTCTGATCCTCAAAACTCTTCTATATTCCTCAAAACGTTGTTGTTGATCACAACTTGTTCTTGCTGTTGATCGTAAGTTGTTTTTAGCGATCAAAGAGGCCAAAAACTATGTAAATGAAGATATAGAACTAAATATACTTTGTCATCCTCACTGTTCCTGTTATAATAGTTTAGTAATGCCACTAAGGCAAAGATGTATGCAGGTTTTCTAACCCCTATATGACTTTTCTAAGAATATTATTGTTGTTGATTGCAAGTTATTCTTGCGATCAAAGGGAGCAAAGAAATTAAGTTAATAAAGATAAAAAACTAAATATACTTTGTCATCCTAACGGTTACTGTTGCGATGATTTCATAATGCCACTTCCCGGGGGTTACTTCCTTATATAAGCAATATGGGTGTGCTTCTCCAAACAATAAGGATTTTGAGCCGTTTTGGTCTAAAAATGGGTAGGGATTTTAGACATTTTAGCCTGAAATTGGGAATTTTTCGCCTGCTTGTCTGAAATAGGGCATAGATTTTTGCCATTTTTAAGAGTCTGGTCTGAAATTGGGTAGGGGAAATCGCATATTTTGGTCTAAAATAGCTAAGTGTTTAAACAAGCGGGTGGCACACCCTCAGCACAAGTTGTTCTTGTGATCAAAGAGGACAAAAACATTTCGTAAATGAAGGTAAAGAAGTAAATATACTTTGTCAATAATGCCACTTAAGGCAAAGAAGGTATGTGGGTTTTCTGATCCTCACAACACCTCTCTATTCCTCAGAATGTTGTTGTTGTTCATCGCAAATTGTTCTTGCTGTTGTTGTTCAACCATAAGGAAAGTTATGGGAGGGACTGGACATAAAATGAAGGATTTTTAGAGTGTGCACTGTCGCAAGCACCAATGTATAGTCCACTCCTTTTATGTATCACTGGCTCACTTACTTTGTTCTACTGCCCCGTCCACTTTTGTTAAGAAACTAACCAGAAGTTGCAAGAGTTTGTGGAACTGCAAGGAAAGCAAACAAATTGTAGTATGGTTCACTTCTACTCACTTTCAGTGAAATGCACCACTCCAAAGCCCCAAAAAGCTAGTTCCCTGTGCGCATTACCGAATCCTTCCAATTAACAATTAACCACTCCTACCCATTTTCAGCGCACAATCATGAAGATCCACGCACACAGCACACTTATATGAAGCTTATAGCAATGCATTGCACTGCAAACATTCATAAATTTCAATAAAAGTAGGCAAAAATGAAAAAACCATGAAGTGCAATTACGCATAAAAACTCAATCTCATCCCTCAAATAATATAAATGAGTCTTTGATTCTGTTCCGAAGATGCCTTTCATTTCTCGTGATACGTGATATAGAGCGCTATATCCTGTATTGCACAATATCCTGCAGACGCAAATATCCTCAGTGTACCATGTCTGCAAGCTTTTTCAATGACGGATAAAGAACACCGATCAATACACTTTGTCGAGGGATTACTTCAAAGATCACCGCTCCCTCTATGACGGCTCCCCTAACCCCACCTCCTTAGTTCCTTAGTGCTTCCGGCTTTTGCAATATTTGTGTGATAACAATCTAAAGCGTAGCATTCCTAGCCAATTGCTTACTTTACATTCATAAAAAATTACTCTCGTAGTAAATGGCTCACTGATTTACTGATTTCCGTAAATCATTGCTTTTACAGCGTTTCTCGGTGGAGGCCATGAGGCACTCCCTAACGTTGGCCGATGTACTTCCATGGACTGCGTTTGCACTCTTCGAAAATGCACCACATTTTTCTATAAGGGGCTGCAGAACAACCGCAGAGGAGTCAGTTTGTAAGTTCACTTACTGAGCTCTAAACTTTGAGGTGTTTTGAACGAAGACTCATCCAACTGTAACGCAATACTGCGGTATCTGTCAGGTCGCCTGTTCTGTTCATAGATTACAATGGACTCACACTTAAATATAGCTCTAACTCCGTGGTTATCTTGTTTTTATTCCAGTGCTAAGTTCAACCAAATGAAAGACTGTGTGGTGAAGGTGGTGAAGCGTTGTCTTGACTGACGGACAGA